TCATGGCAGCAAATAATGCTTTCAGAATAACTCAAATTCTTCCCTTTTCAAATCTCTTCAAGCGTTGGAGGAAAGAAGTCCCTGATTGGTGCTAATTTTCCTTCAACCCTCTAACTCTTGCCATTCACCTAAATTCAAGTAACACTGTTTTCAATCATTGTCCAGGCAAGAGATCTGTAGAGTTAATGAAAGAGCCCCACCTTAAATTCTGAAGAGAAAGCTGAGTCTCAGAGGACCATGACTTCCCCAAGGCCTGAGGTTCTTCCCCCCTCTAAAACTTAACATTTGGTTTTGAGATACAGTGTAACTGAATGGGGTGTATTTATGGGGTTAAATGTGTAAGGATCAGATCAGTGTATTAGGCATATCCATCCCCATGGACATGTATTATTTCTTTGTTATGTCGCCAACTCTCTACAAGTAGTTTTGAAATATACAATTAATTTGCGTCAAACATAGTTATCTATGTTATAGAACATCGGAAGTTATTCCTACTGTCCAAACACAACCCTGTGCCTGTTAACCATTTTCTCTCCCTCCCCTACATCCTTCTCAAGCTCTGGTAACTACCGTTCTACTCTCCACTTCTGTGAGATCAATGTTTTAGCTTCCACATATAAGTGTGATAATGAAGTCATTTTGCTGTGCTTATACAACCTCACTTTTCATGAGGGGAAATGACCCTGATAAGGGTGTGCTCCTCTGCCATGATCTTGGGAGATGCCTATTGGCCTCAATTTCTTACTCTAATCCCAGAGTAAGGGCCAAAGAAGTCCCACTGGGGGACAAGGGGAAGCCAGGAAGGTAAAAGAAAAAGTGAATCATTGCGAAGACTAGTACTTTTTGGTTTTGCTGAATATTTTGCTGAGTCTCCCCAGGTATACAGTTCAGGCTCATCCTGAACTCACTATATGGCCCAGGTCAGCCTCAAACTCTCAGTGATATTTCTTCCTCAGCTTCCTGAGTGCTAGGATTACAGGCATCCATCACCACACCAAGGTACTCGTTTGTTGATTTTGCAGACCAGTCTCAAAAGTCACAGGAGGGCCGGGGATTTAGCTCAGTGGTTCGGTGGCCTGCCTTGCAAGGGCAAGGACCCGAGTTTGATCCCTGGTACCAAAAAAATAAATAAAAAATTTAAAAAAGTCACAGGGATTTTTAGTTAAAAAAGAAAGCACTTTCTAATACTGAGGCTGGAGCTGACTATGTAAGGAGATAGCCAGGATGGAGATTCTTCTATTTGCTGAAAATACTGTCTTTCACTCTGAGTGCTGGCTTTGCCCCAATGTGTACAGATTCTTGATTGAATGCTTACATTTGGGGACAGAATTTTCTTCCACACCAAAGCACAAAGGACTCCTAAGATGCTTCAAATAGGAGTTCTAGATGTTTTCCTCTCTTCTGATAACAACAAGGGTTTGAGTTTGAGCTTTAGGAATGGGAGTAAAGGAGCTGATCCGGATGGAGAGATTAAATATGAATGAACCCAGATTTATTCCAGGAGCAAATGTCTATACTTGTTACTGAATTTACTCTTGGCCAACAAAAGACATCCCATTCCACCCTACCCACCACATCACCAGGTCATTTGTAGTTCAGCCACCATGATTCAGGTCAGAGGCCCATCAGACCACCAGGCATACTTGTTTAGCAGGCAGATCTCTCAGACCACCTCCTACTGTGATTCTTCAGGTATGGGCTGATTTTGATGGTCACAGAGATGTGGTAAGGGATGTTCTCAGCGAGAATGTGAGTGTGAGTCTAAGAAGCACCGGAGGTCTTCTCCCATCGGACATTCCTAACAAGGAAGGGATGGAATGTAGGATTCCAGAGCACCAATGAATAGATTTTTACAGTCTTGGAAACATATGATCTTAATAGCTGAATAAAAGAATCTTCTTAAAGCATTGAAATGCATTAGCAGGAGAGCCTACTGGTTAAAGAATCAGAGCATGACTTTCACTTGGTAGCTGAATAAATGATATGCAGTTATTTAACCTCTTGGAGCCTGTTTTCTCACTCATTGGATGGTCATACTAGTGTATAAAATATGAGAACTTAAATAAGTCTGTGAATTTAAAGGATAGTTCAATAGACTCAATATTTGTATCCACTCTCCAAATTATCATACAGAAACCTAATTCCCAAGGTGATCCTATTTGGAGGTGGGGCCTTTGGGAGGTGGCTGAGTCTTGAATATCTGATCCTGTTGAATAGGATTAGGGATGTACAAAAGAGTCCCAGAAAACTCCTCAGGCTCTGGGATACCACGTAAGGGCAAAATGAAAAGAGCTGTCTAGGAAGCTGGAAATGAACCCTCACCAGATGCCCAGTCAGCTGATGCTTTTTATCTTGGACTTTCCACTCTAAAGAATTGTGAAAAAAAATTTATGTTGTTTATAGGCTATCCAATCTATTCTGTTTTCACATCTGAATGGACTAAGACACATGGCATTGAGTCTGGCATGTAATAAAGCTCCTAGGAGTTCCAGTTTTCCTTAACAAGGTCATGAAATGTTACAGCTAAAAGTGATCACAGAGATCATGCAGTGAGTCTGTGCCCAGGAAGTGATGGTTGGCCTGAGAGGACTCTAAAATAAAGAAGCTCCTGGGTAGTCTAGGCCCCCTATACTGCCCAGCCAAAGGAGAGGGCACATTAACCATGCAGGGATTTTGGAGGTCCAGATCTCAAGTGCGACTTTCTGCATTTGCTGACTCTCTCTGCAGAGCAAGCTGGAGTGGGTCTGTAGGCACCAGCAGGCTCAGCATGGGAAAGTAGAGCTGCATCCTCCCTCCCCTTGCCCTGGGGTTTAATCAAAACTGTATTCTAAATATGACTGTGGGAGATTATATTGGGGATTTGCAGGAGGCTGGCAGTGGGGCAGAGATGGTGGGAACAGATTGTGGCTGGGGGCTGAACCTGGGATAATCTTAGGCCCAGACGTGCCATTCTCAGGTCCTCCGCCTGGACCCCCAGAGCTCCCCACCAGCTCTGGAGACTCTGAGCTCCAGGATGGAGAACTAGCTTACTCAGATAAACATGTAGTGACACAATCTAGCAAGGAAAGCAGGTTTCTACCCTCTTCTGCCCTTTTTATACCTCCTTGCTTCCAGACCTTTGGGACAAATTCTGGGCTGCAGAAACTTAGGGGCAGAGATCTCCAGGTCAAGGCAGGGTTTCTAGAGCTGAGAAACAACTTCTGAGGGCCTGGAAAGTAGAGAGGGCAGCCAGCTTTCTGTGACACAGTACCTACCTGGGGTTCAACGCCTGGAAGTGCATGCAGGCCAGAGAACTCCACTTCTCAGCCTTTGTGTCCGAGCCTCTGCTTGGCCACGTGACCTTGGGTTTACGTGGGTTCCTCCTCCAATTCGGGTTCAGTGCCCATCTCCCAGTGATGACTCAGTGTGATACTAAGGGATCCTCCTCTCCCCATCAAAGGTTTAGTCTGATCCCGTCCTCAAGTGGGGACCGCAGAGATTCCTCTGACCGCCCGCCGCCTGGGCATCTCTAAAGGGGTCTACCTGGCACCCCCGGGTGAGGGGTGTCGAGACCGCCAAAGAAACCTCTCGCTAATGCTCTTTATTACAAGCTTTAATCCCGCAAAGCCGACTGGAAATAATGTTTATCTTTTTGCAGTTTAATTTTCCGCACCCTAAGCCGGGGGTCACCGAGGGCGACTGGAGTGTCCGCAGGGAAACTGGGAGGTGGGACCAGCTGTTACACAGGAGCAAAGCGAGGCAGGCAGGGAGGAGCCTCCTCCCGGAGAAGGGGAGAGGGACCGACCGAGAGCAGGAACTCAAAACACGAATTGGACTCGAGCATAAAGCTGGGGTCCGTTTGTCGCCATCGAGGACCTGGGTGACCCTGAGCCAATCTCTTGCCTTCTCATTCGGCCTCAGTTTGCTTATCTGAAGAGAAAGAAGGTGCCCTCCCCGGCCGCCGCAATCCACGAATTTTAAAGACCTTTGAGACTCGGAACGGGGTCTTTCCTTTTGAAAAGGCCGGGTAGGGCGAAGCTGGGGCGGAGGGACTGCTTGCTGCGTCAGCTCCGCCTCCGTCCCTAGCCTTCACCTTTCACCCTCTCACCCTTGGTGGACCTTAACCCTTCTGGCAGACTCTGCGGACACTGTAGCCCCAGGAGTCAGGAACTGTTGGACCCGGGCCCGCGCAGACGCGGAGGCCGTCACTGAGCCCCGCGGGCCGCAACGGGCACAGGAGGCCGCTCTTTCAGGACCCTGCCCTTAGGGGCGCAACCCAGCCGCCCTCCCTCCCATTAGCACCCACTCCGGGCACTCTTTCCCTGGGCCAGTAGTAAAGCGCTTCATCCCTGGGTAAGGCCGAAGTCACTAGACCCAAGATGCCAACTTAGCCTCCTCCAAACTGCACGGCGCGGGCACCTTTAAATTTGTCTGACCCTGGATTCCCGAGGCCAGACACTGCTCCGGGGAAAAGGGCGCGCCCCGGGCCGTCAGCCCTCCGTGGTTAGCCTGTACCGGAAGTGTTTACTGAAACGTTTGATTAAAAGAAGAAAGTCCCTCTCTCCTCATACCCCTCCGGCCTTCTATGTTGTTAAACAGGAGCAGAGCCAGCCACCCTACCAACGGACAGCCACGATTGTCTTCACCGCCCCTTCTCACTTCTCTTCAAGCCAAATTCGAGGCCGGGAAGAAATGCTGCTCTGAGATAAATGTCCTGCCCTCCCTCAACCTTTCTGGCACTTCACTCTGGGGGCGTGAACCTGCTCGGATGCACGCCTTCGGTCACTAACCCGCAGGCGCCGCGCCCTTGCCCGTTGCCCACTTCAGCTCCTCTCCCGGCCTTTAAGGAGCCTGACTTACTCCGCTCAGGCAGCCCTTTTCTGAGAACCCTTGGCTACATTCTACCCTCTCCTTCTACCTGAACTCACCAAGCACCCCCTTGCATAGATCAGCCGCACAGCTTGGGTTAGGCTTGATTATTTTTAAGGACGCAAAGGCGAGGAGGAAGGTGCAGGTGGTACTTGGGGACCTGGTGAGCAATGAAGTTACAAAGTGAAGGGAGCCAGGTAAAAGGCAGGGGTGGAGAACAGAGGAAGCAGGTCAGGCCCTTTATCCAGAAGAGGAAGGGAGATTAGATAGAGTCCTTGGTGCGGGTCAAGGGGACCAGGCTTCCGCCTTGCTCTTCCTCAGATGCATTGGCCCCTGCTCTGCAGGAGATAAGGGACAGGTCTGCCCACCACACCCAGCTCTGTGTGCAAGGAGGGTTTCTGTGTGCCTGTCTCTCAGGCGAAGTGCGAACTCCCGGTCCCTATCAAGGTCTTGCAGCTTGTTATAGTGGAGGTGAGTTCCAAACGGGGCCGTTTCCAAGAGTCTTCTGCAAAATGAAGCCATTGCGCTAACCTGCTGAGAGAGGAAAGGTTGATTAAAACCCCCCTTGGTGGTGATTTCCAGGAAGTCGGAGGTCAGCATGGTCTCATGGGGGGAAGTAAAGGCCTAGAGGCAATTTGTTTGCTAGAGGAATCGCTTGGATGCCTATGTGTAAATTCAAATAACAATGTAACCCAATTTTCTAAGGCAGTAGCTAATCCTGAGAGAAATTACTACAAAGGGCAGATTCTGACAGTAATTGCTGGAGGCTGTTTAATGCTTGGGGAATGTCCCTTTATGAAGTAAGATTCCCTTCCTGCAGGCCCTCAGCACAGCAGCAGAACCCAGTACAGTCAGCAACCACTGCCTGGCAGTCCCACATTGCATGGGGATGAGCCCTTGGGAGCCAGTGCTCTCCTGGGCAGCACCAAGCTCAGCTTCCAAGGTGTTGAATGCTGGAGGAGGCTATACTCCAGGCGGGTTAGTGGGCCACAGAGAAGGCTTCCGGCTGGACTTGAGCACTGACCTCCAACTCTTCCTTGCGTCTCACTCACCCCTTCAGATGTCTGCAAAATCCCAGGTGCCTGTTCAGCCTTAGGAAAAGCTAGGTGCCAGCTCAGCTAGTCTTCTCCAAAGGGCAGGCAGAGGACAAGGACAAGTGTGCTAGAGGGGCATGGTGAGGCACACTTGGTGCACTGGCAGAACTGTGGACCATGAAGGCACAGATCTAGACTGTTCACGGTTTCAAAGACTTGCCACTCTCTCTGCTTGCTTGATTGTCTCTGAGTTTATTACTATGACTTGGTCTGTAAGGAGGGAGGACTAGAACTTTGATCTCTGATCATCACGTAAAAGAAATGCTATGGGACAGTCTGGTACCAGGTCTGAACCTGGGCTTGTGCAGAGGCATAGGTGTGTCTCAGCTGGGCAGGTGGTGAATGGGCACCTTTTGGACACACACTAGTGCCCCATTGCCCTTGGGGGCCCACTACCTTCTGCTCCTGACTGGTATGGGCACTGCACTGAAGGCTCCCTCTGCCTGGGACATGGAGTACAGCTTGGCGGCAGCTCCTGCAGGGCGAACATTGAGTTTCCAAAGACTTTGCAAGCTTCTTCGCGAGCTGAGTCTCTGGGGACCAGAGTTCGCCTGGCAGAGCCCGGAGGCTGTCCGGAAATCAGATGGCACTCAGGACTGCGAGACCTGGGCCGGGCTGAGGGAGTGCTTTCCACAGCACAGGCTGCCGCAGTGTGCGCCAAAGACCAAATCCTAGGCTTCTCTCGGCATGGGTAGTGCACGATCATCCTGGGGCCCCCGGGCTCTGTGGCGATGAAGTCAGCTTCTCCTGACCCAGTGGGCTCATTTAAGGAGAAGCGGGGCGCTGCCAGGCTGCACACCCCTCTCTCCAGCTGGCCCTGTCGGGCTGTGGTGCCCTGCGCAGGCAGCAACTGCACGCCCTTATGGAACTCCGCCAGCCTGTCTGCAGCTATGGCCACTGCCTCTTCTTCTTCAGCTTCTTCCTCTTCTTCCTCTTCCTCCAGGTCCTCCAGGTCACTCAGTCTGAGTGACCCCTGGGCTTCCGGATTAGCACTCACATCTGCAGAAAATCGAGAGCAAGTGAGAAAATCGCCCCCAGGGACCAAGGGAAACCGGCAGGAGCGCACATTCCTATGAAGCTTTTAGCATGACAGCCTGCACCCACGGCATTCTGTATATCACCAGACCTGCCACACCATCTCTCACACATCTCCAGAACTGATGCTTGCCCCTCAGAAACTGCTCCCCTTGCAGCACAAGCCAAGCAAAGGCCATCTGGTGATGCTGCAGTCTGCATCTCAGTTTCTCCACCATAAAAAGAGGAGGGATAGCTGTTATCCAACTTCTACAACCATAGGTAGTTGCTGTTACATTATTTTATTCAGTAAATATTTACTGAGTGCTGTGTGCCCAGAATCATTCAGGCACTTAGGTATTTAGGGAGTATAGCAGTAAGACATCCAGTGGAGAGGGCATTCCGTAGGGGATTCCAGGCAGAGTGAAGCACATGAGTAAAGACTCTGGGGTGTGCAAAGGATGAGTGCAAGAAGCTCCTTGCAGAAAACCTGCACTGCAGGGTGGCTTCCAGTCAAACTGCTTCATAGCCTGTGAAACACATCAGGAGGGGTGGGTGATGCTGTGGGTACCTTTGGTGTCACTGTTTAGGCAGTCCAGTGACTCCTCCACCTTCCTCTCCTCCCCAACTTTGTTCTTGGGTGCCCACGTCATCTTGTTCTCCTTCTTGAGGCGCCGGCGCGCATTGGCGAACCAGGTGGACACCTGGGTGAGGGTCATCTTGGTGATGATGGCCAGCATGATCTTCTCGCCCTTGGTGGGGTAGGGGTTCTTGCGGTGCTCATTGAGCCAGGCCTTGAGAGTGCTGGTGGTCTCCCGGGTGGCGTTCTTCCTGCGTCCTGCATTGCTCAATTCCACCCCACCATACCTGTGAAGAGAACTCACCTCAGGTTCCAGGATGGGAACCAGAGGCTTGGAGCAGGGGGCAGTCTGCTTCCTGGAAGTGTGGTTCTGCTCCCTCCCTTTTCCCCTTCTCCACCCTCTCCCAATCCACTCTACCTCAGCAGGAGAGCCAGCTAGAAAGACCTCCCCTCCTCACCTGTCATACTGGTATGGGCCCAGAGTTGGTTCATAGGGATAATAGGCTCCTGGTTGTGCCAGGCTGGGTGTCAAACTCCCTGCAGCTTCCTTAAATTCATACTGTGGATTCTGTGGGTGGAAAGAAAAGAGAAAATTCCGGACTACACTTGGGCAGGATACAGGTGGGAATTGTGGTTTCTGTGGTCAAGTCCAGTTCCCATCCTGGTACCACTACACTTATTGGCTGTGAGACCTTGGGCACAGCTGCTTAACTTTGGTGTCACTGTTTAGGCAGTCCAGTGACTCCTCCACCTTCCTCTCCTCAGGCCTCAGGCCGTCCATTGGTAAAATGGTGCTCAGAGCCTACAGGTTATGAAGAAGACCATGCTGACAGAGGTCCTGGCAGAGGCCCTGTGACAAGTAGTTTTCAGCTACTGGTATTCTTGTTGTTCCTTGTGTCCCCCACCACATTCAGGGATGCCAGGATACTTCTCAGCTTTACTCTCCTTCCAGAGCCGTCCCTCTCCCCTTACATCTTTGTGACTTTCAATAAGGTAGTTGCACCCCTTTGTGCCTCAATTTGAGAACAGCAATGACCTGTCTACCTTACAGAAATAATAGAAGTGTATTTTCCAAACAGTGTAGAATTCTACAGACTAGAAAGTGCTGTAAAGTTGGACTTTTTCTCTTACACGATACACAACCCTAAATGTTTCTTTTCCTAGGTAGTTCTGTATCCCTCCTAGATTTTCCTAAGACAGGATACACTGGATTTCACCTGCAGCTACTGTCCATGCCCCCACATCCCACCTTACATACTTACCAGTGTCCCATACAGAGCTGTTGGCTCTGGACCATAAGGCAGGTAGCCGGGGTAGCTCTGGGCAGCTGCTGCAGCTGCATAGGGGGCTCCATAAATGCCCAAGGCTGCTCCCAGCTCAGGCCGTGCACTGCCCAGTAGTCGACTGTCATAGGGCGCACAGCAAAGAGTGGACGCTGGGGTGGAGCCTGAGGCCACATCTGAGACTGAACGTGGGGCAGATTCGCAGCAAGTGGTGCTGGAACTTGCAGACACCAGAAACTAGAAGAGGAAGATGGGAAAAAGGTCACTGAAGGTCAGAGAGCTGTTATTTCACCTGGCAAGAGCCAGAGGATTCCTTCATTCACTCCTTCATTCTACCATGTGCTCAGCATTACGCTAGCTTCTGCGATGGGAATTTTCAGAAGGCAACTTACTCAAACTGCACTTGTAGATGTGCTTATGCCATTGCTAACCCTCCAGAGTCCCAAGGGGTTCAGGAAATGTGAACATTCAGAAACCAGAGTCAGAGACCTAATCCCTAGCTCCCTCCTCTACTCACCCCTATGGGACCCTACACAGGCAGAGATAGAAGTTAGCTTTAGAAACCATCATCAACATTTTATTCCTTTTCCCATTTTATAAATAGGCAATCCAGGACCAGTGAGAGTAGAAGTGTCCAAGATCACATAGCAGGTCAAAGGTCAACCTGGCACCAGACCCTAGGAAAATACAGCTGAACTCTGGGAGGAGAAAGGGGTTGGGGTCCCCAAAATTTCAGCAGAAGACTCTTACCATTGTCTGGTTTGGAAAATCTAGAGAACCAGAGGCAGAGATCTTGGACCAGCCCAAGGAGGAAGGATAAGAGCAGAGGTCAACAAATGAACAACAATATGGCCAGAAGACAGCGCTCTGGCCAGGAAGTCTTTTCTGAGTCTCCCACTCACCTCACATTTTGAAGAGGTGGCCTGACTGGAAGATTCCTGAGATCCCACCCCCTCGCTGAGCGCGGGGTCAGGGGGCCCGCATTCGGTTCACAGAATTTTCCAGCATGCACTTGGGAGCGAAACGTTTTCAGTCCGGAATTGGGGATGTCAGACCAGGCCATCACACACTGCCAGGTGCTTACTCCCCCTGGCTTCCCCAGCGACACACCAAAGAGGAGACGCGCAGGGATAGGAGAGACGGGAAATCAAGGGTGGGAGCAAGCGCGCAGTGGACACCCATTCCACCCAGTCTGTTCCCATTGCCCCCAAAGGCACTTCTTACCTGAGAAGGGCCGCTGTATGGGTGTCCGAAGTGTGAGAAGGACATAGTGGCTGTTCTTGGCCTGTCTCCCGCTTCCCTTATGAGTCCCCTTCTTAGCCCCGTTGCTGGGCGCCCAGAGCCAAGCAGCGCCTCGTTCCTTATACCGCCGCTGGAGCCCAACGCCCGTTGCTCTGCAAGCTTGGTGCAACGGGAGGCAGAGCCGAGGGCAGCCCAGCTGCCGAGCCCTGCGCTCCGGAAGGCGCCCCTCCGGCCCGTGGGATCCAGAAGACCAAAGGGCCCATGGATGGGAAGAGGAAGGAAGAAGGCGCGGGTTCCGGGAGGCGCGCGGTGGCAAGGCGCGGCGAGGCGCGGGGCTGTGAGGTTCCCGAGGTGTCCCGGTCCAAGGTGACCAGAGGCTGAATGTGACGTCACGGTAATCTCGGGATGCCAGACAGGACCCCGGGACCCGGGGCCCCGGGCCACCAAGCGTGCCAAATGCCGCCAGCCCGTGCGCGCGCGCGCACGCACTCTCTGCCCACACTTACACTTGCTCCGAGAGGTTTGTGCAGCTGGCGAGGAACGCCAAAGACCCTGACCCTCTGCTCAACGCTAGATCCTAGCCCTTTTCCCTTCAAGCTCAAGAGCGCGCGCTCACATAGAATCTCTACAAATTACCCGGGAGAAGTAGGAGAAACGCCTCCCTCTGCGCCGCGCAGGCCCTGGGCGCAGCAGCGCACTTACCTCCTCCCCTTCGACCCCGAGGAGGCGAGAGGCAGCCGGGGCGGCGAGGGAGAAGAGAATACAAAAGAAGAGAAGAGACCCGAGAAAAGTGGGAGAGAAATGCAAGAGGGAGAAAGAGGAGGGGAGAGGAGAGAAATGAGTCTAAGTGAACAGAGGAGCGCGCGGGAGGGGGAGGAAGCGGAGGTGGGGAGACTGGGAGGAGGCTGAGCCTGCAGGTGGAGAAGAGCAGAGACTCTGGGGAGAAGACTGTCCAGCCCAGAGCCTCCGCCTCGCCGTTGCAAAAAAAGTTTGTTCGCACCACCGGCCCAGTGCTGGTTGGTACGGTTCGGGGCTGCGTTAATGGATCCCACTGGGAGGCCCATCACTGTGTCCTGGGATCTGCTTCCTGCTTCAGTCTCTAGCTATTTTTGGCTCTCCAAGCCCTGGCATTAGATCCTTGACCCTAGGCTTTTCTGCAGCCGCCTGACCCCCTAATAAGTCCAGTAGCTCCCCCTTAAGCCAAGGCTCAGGAACCTTCTGATGCAGCCTGGAAAGGTGCCAAGTGTGACCCTTGGTATCTGTATATTTCGCGCTAAAACCTCTGAGCATCCCCTCCAAAGGTGAGGCTTGGCTGCCTTGTGCAAACCTCCCTCCCGCAGTGTCAGGGTCGGGCTGCAGCCCCTGTACTCCGCTGGGGGTGGCGCTGGAGAGCCACAGTGAAGAGCTCCAGGAGGAGGCCCATTTCCTAAGCGCCGCCAGAAAGGCTGGCTGGGTCCAGCTGTGTGCCCCTACCCCATCCCTGAAGTCCTCAAAATTGCATCTATAGGCCTGGACTAGGAATGCTTACAGGTGCCAGGAGAGGGCTTTGTCCTCTAGGTCTGCCTCCCGGACGAGGCATGGGCAGTTGGTCAGCACTGTAGACTCTGTGCACCTGAAGTCTCAATTCCCAGGCCCCAGACTCCTTTCTGTGAGCCCCTACATGAGACCTGCAACCTAGGGGTGAAAAGGCACTGTCAGCCTGGAGAACAGGTCTTAGGCAAGTGGAGCCAAGCATATGGTGGAGTTTGCAATCAGGAAGCCTTTTCTTTGGTGCAGGGACTCAGGGCATGCTTGACACTTTATAAACCTCCCTCCTAGGTCCATGGTGAAACCCCCAGAGGAGTCATGGGGGCACAGTTAGAAATAAATGTTCTAAGTGAAGCACAAGACCTACTGTGTGGCCCAGAGGACAGGACTAGCACTAGGTTCCTGCCAGGCAGAAAGTGTCCAGACATAGGAGCAGTGTCTGGAAATCTCTTACCACTAGCTTGCCTGTGCCACCTTGCCGAAGGGACTGGTAGGCCCTCCAGAGCTAGGGACCTCCTCAGAATGCCATTTAGAGCTCTACCTCCACCTCCTCCCCTTCTTTTCTTCATAGATTCTGCAGAATGAACAAAGAGCTTAAAGAGACCACAAACCACAGGCTCCTCTGCCAGAGGAGATTACCGACAGGGGGACAAGCTCCATTCTAAACACTGAGAAACCCAGCTGCTACTGCGGATTGCGGTTACCTTGGAGAAACCTTGCTCTCAACCGGGAAACTTCTAGTTAGAAAAAGAATTACGGTCATGGCCAAATTGACTTAGTGATAAAAAATTCACAGTAATAAATAGATCCCTTGATTTTTCAAAATGCACTTTGGAGCCATCTACACATTTGCAGCTTGGATACATCTAAGCTTTTTTTTTAAAGTAAGAATTAGAGAGTATTCCTTAAATTGGTCCCATGGGGAAGATTACTACTAATTAATTAATTGCAAACATTTCCAGAGGGAAGGTATGTCAATTGTAAGGTAATAAAATTAGATAGTTGAAACACTTACTCAGCAACTTTGCCCATTTGTTCCTATGCAGAATTATTTTATGAGAGAAAAATGGGGATGCTGGTGGAGAAAAAGCATTAGCCTTGTCCCCTGATGATATAGTTTTGAAGCAGAAACTACCATATAGGATTTATTGATTTTCTGCTGATTTATAAGACCTTTCTGGTATCAATGCAATGCTCAGGAGCACCAAGTCCACCTCTTGTCTTTGCTCTAGGATTCGAGAAAAGCAACAAGATTTTTTTTTTAAGAGTAGAAAAACCAATGACAAAATAAATTGGGAGATAAGACTATACTGAAATCTCAGCATTTTTCTTCCTCTGTAGAAATGGAAAACAAACAAAAGAACATGTTTTAAGCGATGGGACCTTAGGTATTGTCTTCACAGTTGCTTTATAATAGATGTGGGGACTTCTCTCAGAATGTTTCCCCAGGGGAAGGTCTTGTCTCCTTGTGTTTGCACCTTGTAAGACCTTGATTTAATATTTCCTTTTCAGGGAGAGCTCCCTGTATTGATGACACTTGATTGTTACTGCCTTGAATATTTAGTAAGAGTCCCAAAAAATGGTGATCATGATGTGCCCACTGTTCCTATTATTTTGAGACTCTCATAACAAAACAAAGCCAGTAGGCTAAGCCAATATCAGCCTCTGTCTGGCAGAAACCTCAGGTGGAAAGAAGTCTATTTCTTGGAAAGTCTGATTCAGGGATGCTGCAGTAGAATTTCCTTTCGTCTTTCTGTCTCCTCCCAGGCCCTCACTTCTGCAGCCTGGTGCTCTGGGCTTCTCCACCACGGCGGCTTTTCATTGCTTTGTTCAGCACTGATTAGTTTAGTTTCAGGGGAAAAATCCCCAACTGTCTATGTGTGCACATAGAATTTTATTGAAGCAAATAAATAAACTTATCAAATACAGTTATATTTAAGGGAGTCATTCTACCAAATATATTTTGAACAAATGATATAGATTTTTTTTTGCCTTATTGTGCAACATGCCTGAAAGTTCCTCTAGCTGCTCATTAAAGCTAATATGAAACAAAGCAAACAAAGGCTTATTTGGACCACAGAGAGTAGGAATGCACATTGCTTATTTGAAGTTCATATTCCTTTGCCTTAAATGCACTGAAGTTTCTGAGCAGGAAGAGTAAGGGATGTGTATTTGACAATAAGCTTGAAGGAAGCAACTTCAGAAAAAGAAAGAGAGAGAAAAAACAAATCATCTTGCATTATTCTGGTCTAAAATTGTCTATGATTTCCTAATAATTTATAAAGACAGCAGATTTTAGAGGGGGAAAATAACAAACCTTAGATGTTTCCAAATAGCTTCCAATATCTCAAATCACTGATGGAATGAGTGGCATGAGCATAATAACATAGCTGAAAATGTGATAAATTATATTTTTTAAGTATGGAGATTTTTTAGTGACTGTTTTTGAACTGAGAAGAATGAAATTTTCTCAAATCTATGCATGAATGAACAAGTGAATCTGGACAGATGCATCCATAATTTATACTGATCAGTCACTGCGGGTCTCCCTGAGTAAAGCCGAAATGAACACTAATTGTTTTGACGGAAGTAGTGTGCAGGGCACCTGATTGTGAAATGCAGTGAGTCCCTGCCTTGCCTGAATGCATATTGTCAACAGCAACTCTGGCATCGGGAGGGGAAAAAAAAGGCAATAATTCCCAGATGGGGGTGTTGACGTTGCTTGTCAGGAGGGTGGCACACAGAAAGAATTGACTTTGAGATAAAGTCTAAAAAGAGCCTGAATGCAGAGATCCTGGCCTGTCAGCCTTGTACCTGAGGTTAGAGTTAAAAGTGGTGGCTTGTTAATAATAGCAAAATTCTTTTGCATTGTTTTGAATACTTAAGAAACACCTCTGCCTTGATTTGGAGAGGTGGGGAGCAAGTCCAAGGTCGTCACCACGCAGATGGCAGAGAAGAGACCAGAATCCAGACCTCTTGATTTTGGGTCTTTGTATGAGATCATATTGTAAACACATACGCCAGACACAGCCAGGAGAATTTGCTCACTCCAGCTGAACTGCATGAATTTCTGTTCAGTGCCTTGTAACAACACAGTGTAATTTATCAGAGAAAATATCTAAAGCGATGCCACTATGAGCAAACGAGTTTAGTGTCTCTTCTGTACACTTTTATATCAGTCTCTATTATGAAAGGGCTTATGTGATAATTTGGAGGTTTTAGAAATTCAGTATAGATCATTCATTAATATGACAAGCAACAAACAGATCCAGCTGTGACTCATAATACAATTCAAAAAACAAAAACAGCAGCCAAGAAAGACATTTTTTAAAAAAAATCATGTTTTTAAAAATCCAGCTGAAATAGTGTCTGCGTATTTACACTGGTTTACAAAACAATATTAGAATTTAGTTACTGACAATTTTCAGCAAGACAATACTTTTTAAAGCATTTCTTGCAACAATAGGTTAGAGTTGGCTGTGTTAAAAATCTCACTTTCA